GCAGAATTTCGAAAGCAGTTTGCTGCTCGTCGCACTCGAACTCTCGAAATAAATTTTTCAAATGTGACAAACGGAAATTTATTTCAATATACACAAGATGGTATGAACTTGATTACAAGTACAACCGTAGTCGAACTTTTTATTAAACAGCCACCCTATCCGTGTGTGGCCTTCAATCTATTTTAATTCCGCTCAACAGCCAGGATATGATTACCATAGAAAATATTTTTGCAATTATCAATAGAAATTGATACAAAGCACGCAAGAATCTTTTCATGCATTAAAAACGGAAATTTTTACGAAGTATCCACATTGGGAAAAAGCTGTTGATAAGGTGACCACATCCATTTAAGGCACATTGAATGCAAGTTTAAATGTTATTGGAAAACATTTAGTTTATAAACATTTCCTATTTATACTCATTCTGGATTAACGTGCTATTCTATTCCATTCCCATGCCTTAAACGCATTTATATTTCACATTGGACCAGTGAATTTTAATATTGCAATTACCTGAGTTTGCAGATTTTTTTTGAAAATTAAATTTTTTAATGCTAGTGAATATTAATTTCTCAACCAAACTCTTACGTTTTTACTTATGGTTCTTACTTTACTGTTAAAATATTTTGGGGGCACGCCGCGTGTGCTGACTTCCCGCAAAATGAATTTTATTGCGTTATTGAACATATTTCATGAGATCTACTGTAAAGGTACACGAATACTAGTACCGGTTGTATCCATGAAGTCGAACATGTTCATATTTTGAAAATTTTCAGGTCAATCATTCTTTTTTCTACTTAAGTAAAAGACAAAAATCCTTCTGCCATTAAAGCGGTTGATGAAATGAGGTATACTCATGAACTGTGCGTAAGTTAATAGGAGAATACTAATCGCGCAGGTTATTTAAACGGCCCTACTCACGCGTTTTTGTTCCCATTTAATGGCAAGTTTTAGCCGATCTAAACGAAGTGGCTTGGGCTCCTCCTCATCCTCGTCCTCCTCTTCATCTTCATCCACTCCAATATTTTCGTTGTGAGCATCATTTGGCATTTCGTTCGCACTGACAAGATCGTCTTTTGCCTCCTCTTCAACAATCCTGTTCTCATTTTTTACACGGGAGCATTCCACGAGCGGATCCCTACACCCACTTTGATTGACTTCATCGTTTAGATGCTGTCTAGATGCACATTTTGAACAATGCATGAATTTTTTATGTACACTGGCTTGATGTCCTTCGTTGGCCTCCACCAACTCCTCCACAATTGTGTACTGACTTACATCACGTCTGCTGAATGCTGGCTCAACCAGCATCTTTTTCGGCGAGACCTCAAGGCGGTGCATATCATTACCAAAGGTGGCGCAATTTTGGGCAGAGGAGTGCGGCGATGACCAGCTCGGTTCTTCAATACGAAGGCGCCTTCGGCAGATCTGCCCAACAGGTCTTTTGACATGCCGTCGACTTGCAATGCCATTAGTGACAGGACGCGAACTG